TCCTGCCCGGGCTGGCTTTGAACCGCGATTCTCAGATCTCAGCCTCCTGAGTAGCTAGGATTACAGGCGTGAGCCACCAGCGCCCAGCTCCATGAGATTCTTATATCCAGTTAACCACCAGAAAACCAGAAGTGGTGCTATGGGTCAAAGTGGTAGAGTGCTAGCTAGCCTTAAGCAAAAAAAAGCTTAGGCACAGTGCCCAGGCCCTAAATTCAAGCCCCAGGACAAAAAAAAAAAAGTTTGATCAGAGAAACATCTGTAAAGATTGGGTGTTTTGTAATATTAAGGAAATACTCATTTCATTTGCTGCAATACTGGCATGAGGCTTATAAAAAAAGTGTTCAAAGGATGAACCTGTAGAATTTAGAGGTAAAATTGCATAATCCCTTATGTTAATTACCTTAATTAAGGTAAGTAATTTATCTTAAAATACTTCAGGGTAAAAGAGTCATGAAGCAATTAAAGTGAGATGTTAACAATCATTAAACCCAAGTGACAGGTACGTGGGTGTTTATTACTTTATTCCCCCTCTTTTTCTCTCTTTTTCTTAATACATTTCTTGGTTTCTTTGGTGTGTGTGTGTGTGTGTGTGTGTGTGTGTGTGTGTTTGGTGTGTGTGTGTGTGTGTTTGGTGTGTGTGTGTGTGTGTGTATTAGTCCTGGAGCCTGAACTTCGGGCCTGGGCATTGGCTTAAGGCTAGTTTCCTACCACTTGAACCACACCTCCACTTCTGGCTTCTAGCTGGTTAGCTGGAGATTAGAATCTCACAGACAGGCTGGGAAGGTGGCTCAGTGGTAGAGCGCTTTGCCTTGCATGCCTGAGGCCCTGGGTTCGATTCCCCAGCACCACATAAGTAAAAAAAAAAAGCCAGAAGTGGCACTGTGGCTCAAGTGGTAGAGCACTAGCCTTGAGCTGAAGAGCTGAGTGACAGCGCCCAGGCCCAGAGTTCAGGCCCCACGACCAGGCCCCCCCCCCCAAAAAAAAAAGAATCTCACAGACTCTGGCGGTGAACTGGGCTGGCTTCTAATCATGATCCTCAGATTTGGGTCTCCTGAGTAGCTGGGATTACAAGTGTGAGTCACGCCCCCAGTGCTTTCACCTTTTCCTGATGGGTTTGTGGATTGGTCCAGCCATGTGGGACAATAGCCCAGAGGCTGCGGGATAGACAGACAGGGCCAATTAGCTCCAGCCAGGCCTGGTGGTCAGGGTGTGAGGTAAGCAAGGGCTTTCTTCAGTGAGCCAGTGACAAGGCCCTCTAAATCCATCCACTTTCCCTCTCGACGGTTTCTGTCCCCAGAGCTGCAGGTTTCCCAGCCTGATGGACTACGACTGCACCTGCCCCTCCGTTCCTTCTCCCTTCTTGCTTTTCCAGGGGCAGCCACCTCTCCCTCTCTTTTAGTCCACAGTTTGGCAGTGCTGTCCTGCCCTGGTGGGAGAACTAGTCAAGAGTGGTAATGTGACTCAGGTCCATTCTCCCATCCAATGATTGGCTCAGGGCTGAGCACAGCACCCAGAATGGTCCAATAGGAACCTGCCCTGGGACATGACAGGAGGCAGCTGGGGAAGGAATGCTGCCATCCAACTCCTATTGGCATCTGTTGGCGTGGAAGTGGGCGGGGCGGATAGCAGATTCTAAAAGGCTTCCTGGCCTGGGTGTCCACCATTAGCTGTCATTCAAGGAAGGGAGTGAGCTCTGTCAGTGGGTCAGGCGCTATTCTTTGCTCTGAGCACAGGGGAGGGGGCTGCAGAACACTCTTCACATACGTACGAAATTCAGACGCATTTCCAAAACGTGGATCTGTTTTTGCAGTTTCCGGGGGCTATTAGACTCTTGCATTTTCATGAAGATCTGTTTTTGGTTTGTGATTTTCCTTTCCATCTGAACAATCTAAAAGGGGGAAAGGGAGGGAGCGCAATTGTGTCCATATTTGCAAGGGTACAAATTTTACAGTTCACTCCCCGAAGGGTCCCTGTCGGGGGAGTTTGCCTCAGCTCTTGGATGCCTGCCCCACTCCTCTCACTCTTTGCCACTCTGGGGTAAAGTGAAGCCACTGAGACTTTTGGCTCATGCCTAGGCATGTAAATTTACCTTACCTCTGGCATAAATGTTCACACCTAAAGTCCTAACCACTCAGGAAGGTGAGATCTGAGCATCACAGTTCAGAGCCTTCTCCGATCTCCAATTAACCAACAAAAAGAGCTAGAAATGGAGGTGTGGCTCAAATGGTAAAGCACCAGTCACGAACAACAACAATCAAGAGCCTGAGGCCCAGAGTTCAAGCCCCAGAATTGGTGTGCGTGCACACACACCTCTTAAAGCAGGGGCATTAGCTGTAACTTCAGTGTTTCTGCCCCTCATCAGCCTGGTCCCAGAGAGAGAGCATCAACAAGGGCCCCTAGCCAGAGCCAGGAAAGATGTAGCTTTAAGCCTCAGAAACTCGGGAAGGGGTGATGTTTGCTACTCACCTTCACTAGCTGATGCACCCATCTGTGCTGAGCTAGGAAGCAGTCTGGGGACCATGGGGTATTAATGGAGCTGCAGCCCAGAGGATGCAGGGAGGTGTCAACAACACCCAGAGTGCACCTGGAGGGCTCCCCCTGGGGAATCGGGCAGGCACTGCCAGCCTGGGGCATTCTGGGTGCCCTGGTCCTGACCTAGGGCGAACCCCCAGGGACATGCACCTTGTCGTCCAGTTCAGCCAGCAGCATCTTCATGGAGCTGATCAGGGTCTCATAGTCCTGCTTGGTCTGCATCAGGAAGCGCAGCTCCACGTAGTTTTTCTGGTTTAGGTGGACATTTTTCGAGGACTTGAGGAGACTCAGCATCAGCATGAGTTCCTCGTGTTCTGCTTTCAGACTCTGGATTTCCTTCCTGAGGGAGGGAGGGCGGCCTTAGTCAGCCTCTACATGCACCCTAAAATGATGCCTGCGGAGGCTCCGGTGCATTAGGAGTCTGAGATGACAGATACCCTGGGCCCCAAGTCCCAATCTCCCCAGGGGAAACTCTGGGCTGCACCTGTGAGAACGCGCCGTCTGCAGACAGGGGCCCGGACTGCCGGGCCTCAGCCCCACCACAGCCCCACGGCGCTCCGCTCACCACACGCCCAAGCAGGCGCTCTCCAATAACGAGCCAACGTGCCGGGTGGGATTTTCAGGTTTGCCTCCACACATCACTTCAACGGCACCCCAATTTCTTCCCCCTCCCCGCTTCCAGCCCTGGGTGTTGAACTCTGGCCTGGGCGCCGTCCCTCAGCTCTTCAGCTCAAGGCGAGCGCTCTACCACTTGAGCCACAGCGCCACTTCCGGCTTTTTCTGTGGTGAGGAATCGAACCCAGGGTTTCGTGCATGCCAGGCAAGCACTCGACCGCTGAGCCACGTTCCTGGCCCCAGGGCACCCCAATTTCAAGGGTTCTCAAAGGACACGCGAACAGGACGCGGGCCCTCCCGCGGGAATTCCCCGCTCTCGGGCGGGACCTGGCGGCGAACAGCCACGCCCACTCCATCACCAGGGCCCGCCCCGCCTGCAGCCGCAGCTGATTGGACCAGGAGCAGACACCTAAGCCAATCAGAGCCTCCTCCTCCGGGGAATTTGGGGTTGGGATGCATTGGAGGCAAACTGTGGGGCTGGGGGAGAGCCTTGAACAGCTCACGTGGGGAGAGGCGCGAGAACCAGGCAGGGCCTTACCGGAGACCCGCGGGCCCCGCCTGGGTCCTGGAGTAGACACCCCCCTCCCAAGTGGACTTGTCCGTAAACAAGTCCGGGGGGGGGGAAACGCCGTGGCCC